CTAAGCTGTATTTTGGTCTAAAAAAAATATGAAATTTCGAGCAGACTAAAGACACAACCTACCTCCTTGAAATCTTGGTTCGAAAGAATGAGATGGTGTTCTAACACTTTAAAATGGCTGGGAAAGTCACTAGGGGAACATTCTGAGCTTTCGATTGTTATTCACATGTCATATATTGAAGTAAGTGTATATAAGGGACCATTTCCAAAATTGAAAGGTGAATGGGGCCACTGTGTTTGATTCTGTACATGAGCAATATCTTGGCAAATAGAAAAGATATGAGGTTCTTATTTTATGTTCTAGCTTGTCAGTATTGGTAATTTGAGTTCCTAATTCGTACAAAACACTATAGACTTAGTATTTTGACATCACAAACGTCTAATTTGAACCAATGCTGCATTCAACGTACCACGTGACATACAAAAATCAATGTTTAACTGTATTTTTTTAATATTTACTTTTAAATTAAGAAATTGAATAATGTATAATAAAATTTGAATTGTAATCTACAGTTTGATACCACACTTATTGACATAAATTCATGAAATGTTAGTTCAATAAAATTTTGAATGCGAGTCAACAAACATAATAACATGGCCTTTGACCCGTGACCTGTCTAGAAAGTGTTAAATTACTTGCATTATCTTATTTTATTGGAAAACCACATTATGAATATTTATTTTAAATAGTAATCATTAACACTCACAATATTTCAAACCGTATCAATTTGTAAAAAATAGTGACATTGTTTAAAAAAAGTATATATATATATATATATATATTGTCAGTGATCCAAGATACTTTGTTAGGTAGAGAAGGACTTCATTTAACTTATAGTTTTTTACAATTTAATATCAAATTAGTTACTAAACTCATGAAGCTTTCAATGGAAGTAAACCAACATGAACCAAACACCAAAAAAGTCAAAACCATTCAGGTTATTTCCATAAAACTGTTCTCTGTTGACCAATAATCATCTGAACTTATCCAAACCTTTAGAAACCACCCAAACATTTATTAAGTAACTTTACATTGGTTTATTCTCTTCTCTTTTTTTTGGGGGGGTATCTTTTTTATTACTAACTTATAATTTTTTAACTACTTATTCAAATGTTTATTGTCTTTCATAATTTATCTGAACTTTTTATCTTCCAGCAAGTCCATGCTCTTATTACTGCCTCCAGGTCTATTAAAAGTTCTACAAGGATAAGAAAATTACTTGAGGTGAGACAGTTTTATCCAGTTTGTTCACAGCAGTATAAGTGCTTTAATGCTATAATTTAACCCATCCATAATTTGAAATGTGTTAAGAAAAACTTTTAATCTGCTACAAAGTTGGGTTACTCACTGCATTTAAAAACAAACACCATACACACATAAGAATCTTCTCATAAGTAGTATAATGATTAAAAGTTTTATTAAGTTTTTCTCTATAGTTTTTTACACTTTCATGTTGTAAAATTTGTTTTGGACAATAATGAGCTTTTTTGTGCTTTCAGAACATTTAATACACTGAAAAATATCAAAAATGTGTTTTTCTTACCTGTGTTCTGTTCAGTTACACTTAACCCTAATACATAAAAAAAATTACCTGCTACTCTTTAACTCTTTCAACCCGGGCTCGGTCCATGAGACTGACCTCGTAGCCATTTTTTGCTTGTTA